GATTCAAGTAAAACAATATCAAGTGAATATTAGTTTTCCATCACAAGATATCAGTCGCTTGATTTTCAGAACAACCAACTAAATTGTTTTTATAGTATTGATTATTTGGACTAAATGGACGAGGTAAAGAAAATTTTATGTCAATCTTTTTTTGAAACATCCACTCATTCGCTTTGTGTAATATTCTCTCGTTATTGTTTACTAACTAATTACTGATTCAAGAATTACTTCAAACTGGAATATTTATTGAGAATGTTTATGTACTTCTTAGTATTCGAGATGGATAAAGTCACGTGTATGACAATCTTTTGCAGCTTATTAAGCTCATATCAGTCTTTGTGTTTTTACTCTCCCGTCGTGGAAATTGCAGAGGTCCCTCGTTCCGAGTATAAGTGATCAGCGTTTTTCCGGTACAACAACCAGCGACGACCAAATATAACATTCACAATGTATCTAAACATAAAAAGTTGACAGTGATCTGTATATTCGCGCATATTTTGTTATGCTGCCTATTACAGTTTGAAAAATTTGTACATTACTGTTTAGTTGAGACAACACTTTATCATAATTATAGCATAAATGCCGTGCCAAAAATGATATTTCATATGATGTAATCATAACTGTGAAGTAACGATTGGCAACAAAAAGTCATTTAGCTATTACCTATTCATAATTGATTGATCACTGGGTGGTGATCAATGTCATGCGTGTCTAGTCCTTATTATTAGTGCAGATCGAATGCTATCGATTATGTTGCAATGTAGCCACCAGTCTAGGTGACTCGACAGTGCGTGCACTATGTTGAGATTAAATGGTGGTTGGAGGTAGTCGGCAGGAAACCCTGGACCAGGGTTTCGTGCTACTTGGCACTGGTCTCTGACTGTGAAGCTGGGTGACACGGGATCGAATCCGCTATAGCGCATCAGTTCCCTCAAGATTATAGGCACACCTTACTGACGAGTGCCAAGTAGCACGAAATCCGGGTCCAGGGTTTCCTGCCGACTACCTCCAACCACCATCTTAGCTATTACCTCTTATTTGAACGATGAAAATCTTTTACGCCATACAGTGATAATTTCATACAACTTAAGACTATACAGAGTACATAAATGTCTACATATCAATGACATTTGAAGTTTATTTAATAATCCAGTTATTATTTTGGGGATTATATCAAAAATTTAATTTAAGTAATTTCTCATATCTATTTTAAACTAATCCACGAAATTGAGCGGCACATCCACCATTGTCTTCAGTGAGTTACTATCTCAATAAATTGGTCTAGTGGTTAGGTGCTCGCGCGCGAAAACAGTAGGTCCTGTGTTGGAATCTCGCAGGGGACGAGGTCGTGGATGCCCACTGCTGAGGATTCCCACAATGGGACGAAACGGCCGTCCAGTGCTTCCAGGTTTTCCATGGTGGTTTAGCTTCAACTGACTCATGATCTTAACCATTGAAATCACTATAATATCTACAAAACCCATGTGATATTAATTTCTCATATCTTAAATATAATTTATCAACGATCTTTTTTCAATAAATATTATGATTATGTTTGTTAGATTATGATGACACTACAAAACTATGAGTGACAATACACACATTCAAATGCTCTAATGTAAACATTTTTTATAGGATAATTGTTAATATTGTGCTGATTGTGTCGTTCAGAAGAACGATGAAAGCTCCGCGACCAAACCGTCCAGCTCAGAGGACAACACTCTATCAAAATGAATAATGGTGTTTACATGAATAGTACTGTCATTGGCCAGTGTTTTTTGATTAATTATAATCAGGTTAACAACTAAATTGAATGAACTTACTTACGCTTGTTAACCCTCCTCGAGGGGCATAGGCCACCACCAGCACCCTCCATCCAACACTGTCCTGGGCAATCATTTTCAGTTATTTCCAGCTGCTATTCATCCTTTTCATGTCTGCTTCCGATTCCCGACTCAGTTTGTTCTTTGGCCTCCTTCTTTTCCGTTTCTCTTAGCATTCCAAGTTAGCACATGCCTCGTGATGCAGATTAATGATTTCGCCAATGTGTGCTCTATCTACTTCCAACCTCTTTTCCCGATTTCATCTTGAGCTGGGAGCTGGTTAGTTCTCTCACAATAGTTTGTTGATGACTATATCCAGGTAAAGGAAATCGAGAATCTTGTGTAAACAATTGTTTATAAATACTTGTATTTTTCTGGTGATGGTTGTAGTATTTCTCCAAATTTCAGAAGTCTTGACGTGCTTATTGAAGAACCTGACTTTGATATTGGCCTGCAGACAGTTGTTTTGAGTTCCATTTAATCTTCAACTGTGAGAATGCGACCCTTGCTTTACTAATCCTCACGTTAACGTCTGCATTCGGTCCTCCCCGTTCATCGATGACTCTGCAAAGGAACGTGAAATATACCACCTCTTCCAGAGTTGGTGTTCTCTGTATTTCATTTGACGATCTTGCTTAATCCTTTGATTATGCTGAGGCCCACTGATGCAGAGGCTTCTGATAGACTGGTTGTCTTCATCCTATGCCTAAACCTCCTCCCTTGTCCGAGCTTCTCTAGAAGAGCAACGTGTGGTGTTTACAAACTTTCTTAGTCAATTATAATTGTCTGTGTTCTACTTATTCACATGTATTTGTATTACTATCATTATTGGTTTAACATCATTATTAATCTCATGAATAGATGATTCATGTGCTTCGAATTCATCCCGCTTTATTATGTCTTACCAATCTTTTTACACCTTGTAGTCTTTAACTATACATTCTCTCGAATTCGCAATTGCACTATCATTTCTCTCATCCTAACTGCTCTATATTTATTCAGATCTTGGTTCAAGTTGACATTCTATATAAATCATATCAACATTAACCATTTTATTTTAATTAACGATCCTCAGAAGTTAGAAAGTTTGTAAGTATCCTAGTCGAATTAGCTCATTCAATAGCTAAGATTACTATTGATTTATTGGTCCTGAGTTCGGCCAGGCGAGGCGAAGTGGTGTCACCATTGGGTGAATAATAAACACTAATTGTAGTACTTATCCGTTGAATCATATTTGGATTGTTTTGTGTAATCTCTGAATTGATATTTGTTAGCAATATCCCTTCATGAACAAGGATTTCTTATTCACAGCTTGTATTACGCCTATTCTAACCTTCTTGATCCTATATATGTTTACGAACATTCCAGGGTATCCATTTTCCCCAAGAGTATTACTCAAGATTGTTTAGCTCTTCTTCCACTATATATCCGTAGAACAAATAGTGCGAATTAGGTAACTCAGAGTATTGATTAGGTTTCTTTTGTACTGCAGAGGTTTAAAGTTAAGGAAATATAAGTAAAAGGAATGGTTTGTATCTGATAAAGGAACACCTGCCAGGAGTTTGCATGACTTTAGATGTCTATCCACAAGCATACTAATGATGATCTCGAAAGATTCACCACATAGTTTGCTAACTGCCTTCAGCACTCTCCACAGTACAGCAAAATCTTTTCTCAAAAGTCCGGGAAAGAATAATGGAGAACAGTTAAGAATAATAGATAATATGTAAGAATTGACAAATTGTAAGAGTAAATGACGAGTGATCCCAAGAGCATACAATCTCTTAATGTAGTAATTCAGACGGACAACCTTCTTCGATAACAATGAAACATGAGAAGACCAAGAGAGATTAGAGGAAAAGGTAGCACCAAGATAATTGATCGTCGACACTGTGTTTATCAATGAGTTGCCAACGGCACAAGCCCTGTCTAGGTATTTGTTCTTTTTCTACCTGTTTACATTTTTCCATTTAATGAACATTATTTGTTAGAATATTTCAGTAAATTATAAAATGAAGCATTTTTAATTTACCGATAATTCTTAAGTAGATTGTTTTTTTTTGTGTGTATATGTGAGTGTGTGTGTGTGTGATGAAATGACACAATTTCTACGTGTTGATTGTAATCTTTGTATTACCAAACATGTCAACATCAACATCAACAACCAATATCATATACACACACATAGTAAATAATTTCAACATGATTATATATCTACATATCATATAATCAATATTACAACCCTTAGAAGAATGAGATTTTTTTTGTTGTTGTTGTATAAAACAGTAATTCATTGTGTAAATATCATAAGTATTTTGTCTCTATTATATGCATTGAAAGGCCTATTAGTTGTCAATCATATTATTTATTGGTTGTATCACATGGCATACCAATATCTTTATTATTATGATCATCATCATCATCATTTACATATCTATGATGTACATTCATTATTACCAACGTCATCAATTTTAAATTAGGAGAAAATACTTGATGTAAGTAATTAAGAATGTTGTAACCTTGTGAAGTGTAATGATTGTAGTAACCATAGCAATTATTGATTTAATTTTTTTTTGATAATAAAATTAAGTATTCACTCACTTTATTGTTACTATGTCTATCTAACCTTGAATAATAATAATAATAATAATAATAATAATAATAATAATGATAATAATAATAACAATAAGAGTAATATGTGTGCTTTAATCGAATTATAAAAACTGTTGAAAAACAAGTGATTACTCATAACTGTTTCAATAGATAGTATCTGAAAAAAAATTGAAAATGGATACTTGTGTATCCATCTATTTCTTAGTAGATATCAGTTTAACCAGATCAAAAAAAAAGAAAAAAAAACTTGTAAAAAACAAAAACAAACAAACAAATTTGAGTGAAATATTTATTTCACATTGAAAAGTTGTTGTCATTAGGTAACACATAAGTAACCAATGATAAGCTAGGAATGAGTAAATAATATTGATCACATGTTAAGTTTATTCAAGGTTATATTGAAGTGAAAATTCATAATGAATAAAATGATTATTATTATTAATATGTGAAGATTTTGATTAGCAACTAAAAAAATATAGTTACTAGGTAAATCTTATATTATTTTTATTTCATTTTTCATAAATCAGACTATTTGTTATTACTAATTATATTTAGATAAAAGATATGGCATTCATAGAAGATTGGCCAATAGTTGTAGATAATGGAGCTGGACATTTAAAAGCTGGTTATGCTGGAGATGGTGGACCAAGAATTCTTATACCAATGTTAATAGGTAGACCAACAAAATGTTCAAAATATACAGATTGGTTTGTTGGTGAACATGCAAATGTTCTTCGAAATGAATTGATTCTTAATTGTCCTATTGCTAATGGAATTGTAACAGATATTGACGGGTTATCATTAGTTTGGTATTATATGTTTATGAAAGAACTACGTACAAATCCGGAAAATCATCCAGTTCTTATTAGTGAATATCCTTTATTACCTAAATTCAATAGAGAAAAATTAGCAGAAATGGTTTTTGAAAAATTTCATATGCCTGGTTTATTTTTCACAGATCAATCTGCACTTGCTCTGTACGCATATGGTCTAACATCTGGTTTAGTTGTTGATATCGGTACAGAAATGTCTAATATTACACCGGTTAATAATACAATTTTTATACCAAATGCTTTAAGACGTCAAAATCTTGGTGGATCTCATATTACTGAATTATTTCGATATATGCTAGCAAAAGAACATCCTGTTGCAGCTACTTCTATCTCACGTGATTTCGCACGACTTTTAAAAGAAAAATTTTGTTTTATTTCAATGAATCCAGATGATGAAAGAAAATCATTGAATTCCACTTCAACTACAGAAAATGTACATCAAACACCAGATGGTCATATTATAAGTTTAACTAAAGAAAGATTTATGGCACCTGAATTATTATTTTATCCAAGACAAGCAGGTTTAAATGGTATAATTGGACTACAAAATATCATTCATGAATCTATTCAAAAATGTTCAGCTGATTTACATCCAACATTATATTCCAATATTGTATTAAGTGGAGGTAGTACATTATTTTCTGGATTTTCACAACGTTTAGAAAATGAATTAAAACAATTGAATTCACCAGTTAATCAAAGAATATTTGTACATAAAAAACAAAATGATCAAAAATATGCTGTATGGATTGGTGGTTCTATTCTAGCCTCATTAAGTTCATTTAAAGAAATCTATATACAAAAAAAACAATATGAAGAATTTGGTACAAGAATTGTACATACAAGATAAATCTCTATAGTAACAATAAAACTTAATTAATATAAATTTGAATTATTCACAAGGATTTAAGGAAATATGCATTTTATTCACATTGAACATTTAAATAAAACAAGTACAAATTCCCCCCTCCCCTCCTCCCATTCTACACATTTCATTATATTCATGATTATCTGAATGATAAATTATTCGACTTCAAGTCATAGGTAATGGAAATGGTCATTTTTTTCTTTATTTTATGTATCTATGCTCTATTGATTCATTTTACAGATTATGTATAAATTATTTTTGAATTATTAAGATAGTAACAAGCAAGATGAAATTGATGTATATTTATTTTTTTATAATAAAAAATTTTCATATTACAATAGATAATCCCGTTTTGGTTAGTTACAAACATTTTTTTTTTCGTTTTTTTTCTCCTGGTAAATATTGAAGTTTTAAGATTCATCAGAAAATGGTTAATCAATTAAATATCATACCCTCGATTCATAGAGTAATTGAATTTTGATACATACTGATAGCATCATTTTCCTTGCTATTTCAGTCAGTCAGTAACAACGTGGAACTCAGTACGTACCTACGTACATCAGTTCGAGTTGCCATACCACATTAACACAGAGATTCAGTTATCGATTCAAATCCCGTAGTGGTAGAGGTAGTGATTTATTGTTGAATTTTAGTCATCAATCTAGTTCTATTTAATATATAGTTTTTCTATGGTGATAGGTTTGACAATTAAAAATATATTTATAATTTCTCAATACATTTAATGAGACTGTATACCCGCAGTACTTGAAATGATCCACTTTAGCTTAATATTTCTAGGTAATTTGTAAATTGAATGTGAATGAAGAATTGTGTTATATCTGCTTCATACATTTTAAGCCTAAATGCTGTCACCAGAATATCAAGTGAAAACTAAAGTTTGTTTTATATTCTGAGTCCGCTGCTATTAAATCACGATGCAGTTTTGATTAGGTAACATCCCTATATCCTCGTGATACTAACACTACAACTTTACCATCAAAGTTAAGACTTTTTCATTCAGATTTTACTTTTCTCTCATTAACTGATCTTTCTGTGACGGAAAATCTTTATTGAACAACCGTTTCTGCTTATATATGTTGACAGGTTGTCACGACATGAACTCGACCAAGATATCAAGGCAGTAACTACACTCTATAGGATCATCTTTGTTTACACTTATATCGAGTATTTTTTGTATGCATAAGTTATTTCGAAACATGATATAAATGACGAACCGAAATGTATCTCAAGACGGTAAAACTTCAACTTCCAGACAAGCGAAATCTAAAGATTCGTATAGTCTTGCAGTGATTAGTGTATCATTGTAACCATTTTCAAATTATCTTTCAGTTCAATAAAGTTATGATAATATGTAAGACTTATGTGAATTTATCTGAAATGTTTAACGGTTAGAATAAATCAGATTGAAATTCTTTTGAGAAATTAGTATCAGAAGGGGGTTTGTGGATATTATAGTAATTTCAATGGTTAAGATCATGAGTCAGTTGAAGCCAGACCACCATGGAAAATCTGGAAGCACTGGACGGCTGTTTCGTCCTATTGTGGGACTCCTCAGCAGTGCGCATCCACGACCTACTGGTTTCGCGCGCGAGCACTTAACCACTAGACCACTGAGCAGGCATCCAAAGGTGTTAGTGTCTAAATTCAACTGATCCTCAAAATTGAGCGACACATCCACCATTATCTTCAGTGAGTTGCTATCTCACAAATTAGTAGACAAAATCTATTCCAACATACGTTTCACACCATCGATGTGGACAGTTTGTTAAACAACCTTTTCAGAATAAAATACTTTTATCTTTTAAAAGAGATTACGTCATTTTACAATCTTTATATGGACCATTTGACAATTTCTAACTGTAGGCTTCTCTTTAACCATATTAATCGTAACACATGAATGTTTCAGATAAAAACGTGTCACTTACGAAGTTACTTCATTGTTTTACATTTTTTCTTTTATTTTGTTGATAAAAAAATGATTTGTATTTGTGCAAAGTACAAAATAATTAGAAAAAAATAGTGAATGACAGATCTACTGGTATCACAAATATTTATGATTATCATTGTACATTGTACAATAACAGTAAGTATTCTCAATAAGACTATTAATGAGGGTTTGAGTGTAAACATTAATATCAGTATAATCATAACAATATGGTCATTATTTATTTTATTTATTTATTTTAACACATAGATATTGGTACAAGGAAGCACCAAATATATATGCGCCACACAAATCTCATTTGATTTGTGTGAGGGCTGTGATACTGCCCGCATGCCCAAACCGAAGCAGGTGATTTCCTTAAGGGGCTACTCCCGGAGACTTCGACCTAAAGGTCTGATCCACAAGGCAGTGGAGCATCGTAAGAAGATGCAGTCCCATGGTAGCCGGTGACCAACAATTGGTTCATACGCCACTTGTTCTCGCAGGATACTGGAGCCAGCCCATGTGCACCATTGGTTTGGGATCCGGTTAAAGCCGGTGCCGGACATCCGCTTTTCGTCCTCTCATTTTCGTAAACAACACCCGTGGTTTGAGAAGGCAGTGAGTAGGACTTCCTTGTCAGAGGCTACATACGCGTGGCCATGTGAGAGCGTTTCGAGAGGGAGATGGGATTCTCCCCACTCTCGGCCGTACCAGGGCATATGGTCAGAACGATCACTGATCATATTGTAATTAAAATTTTTAATATCAAAGTCTGTAAACAGGACTAAACAAAAACAAAATGAATTCATGTTATTCTGATCACATTTTTATTTTTTTCTTCTCAAGATTATTCCTATTGCTTTTTAAACGAACAATATTGTGTATGATTACCAGGCTTTAATGGACATTAATATTTATATGCATATCTGACAATATTGAACCAATCAAAGAGGTTTATGAGTTCAGAGTTTTTTGTCGACTCAGTCTGACCCTCACCTTACATTCAAACATATTACGCAAGATGTAATGTCACTAAGACTTGTAGCTATATTGCCAAGTGATTGATTAATTTCAATCAGCCCTGAGAAAAACTTGACAAACTCGACATTTCCCTTTTATTAGTGATCAATCAATAATATTCTATGAGACGACGGTTACAACTAAATGAATTACATAACCAAGTATAATAAGTAAACACACAGATTGGTAGTGTGATGATTAGTGTTCGAATGAAGGTACCAATTAAATCAGAAGGTGGAAGTATGAAATTCTTTGAATTCTTTTGAAGAATAAGTTTGCAAAAATCTCATCAGCTTAATTTAAAATAAATGCAACGTTTTTCTTAACAGTCTGGTTCAAGTTTTTCAACGGAATATAATCAAACATTAAAGTTATCAAACATAAATAGATGGTATATTGGTGACTATTAGATAAAGAGATAATGAAATCATGCTAAAATTGAAAAAATTGGGATTCGTTGTCATGTTTTTATGAGTCATCCGGTGCGAAGATGTGAAGAAATCGTAGTTTAGCTGGTATGTATACATTCAGATGTATTTGTGAGAAAAGATGAGAGAAACCAGTTACTTATCTTAAACATACTTATAAGTGGAAGTGAAAAATATTTAATCAAATGATCCTTTTTTACGGAGCCAGTTAGGACAGGCTAATTATCTTAAGTCATAGTTACTGCTAGGTTCGATACAAACTGGGCTTGATAAATGGCTCAGTTAATACCATCAACATCTGAAACGTGTAAACAGAAATATAAAAAATTTCAATCAACAGAGCTAAATTTCATCAGTTTCATGTTAGTAAATAGACCACTGGAACTGATAGCTATATCTTCAAATGTTAAACAATTCAGTTAGGTACATTGAAGTCAATCGTTAATCTCATAACATCCTACTACAAGAAAAGGTACCATTCATTTTTTAGATAAAAGTTAATTTTCGACGTGGTTTGAATAACTAATTTTTGGCATTGCAAATAGAGGAGTATTGTTACAAATGTACTTTGTAAAGTAAACAAGGTTTTCTAGTGTGAACGATGAATATCTCTAAGGTGTAAACATTAAATGTCATTATTATTATTATCATTATTAGTGGCTTTATTCAATATTATGTGCTTTGGTACAATATAGAATTTTCAGCATAAAGTATTTCAACAAGTTTCCCGTTTCTTATTTCTTGATCAATTCCTTGCGATCAATATTGAGTGGTCGCCAGTTAGATGTCAGCGGTTCAGGAATCCACATCTGATAAATGTATATCGTTTTCGATGCATATTGCCAGTAATCATGATATCTCTGATTGAGCTCTTTTGTAACTTGTACAGCGAAATGTCGTAAACGTTTTACAAACACACCTGAATAGATTATGAGACTAATAGGCATAATAATGTGTTAAAACAAACAGACAAACAAGAAAACAGATAACTTATTGAAATATCCAGATGGCAGAAACAGGTAGCCCAGATATTCAAGCAGGCTGCCTTAATCGATAGAGTATATAGGTTATATATATATATATATATATATATATATATATATATATATATATATATATATATATATAAATATAATTTATGCTCAAATATGTTAAATGTTTTTAAGCTAATTGATCCTTGCTTTCAAGACCTTGGTTCGTTCACTTTTACCTATAAATGGAGTAGCTAAAATATTTAAAGCTAATAAAGTACCCAAAAATTATTTGGATCATCCAATTAATTAAATAAGACTCAGTCTATTGTTATCTAATCATTGAGAAGATTTTACTGGTGTATGAGATGTTGTAAATGTGAACAAATACCATTACTTCTTTTATTCACAACAATGACTGATATAAAAATGTCAATGATCCATATTTGAATAACCTAAGTGTTAACGCTCATATTTTCTTGAATGATTTGATACGGCTCTCATATCCAACAGCATATCTATCATCATTCATAATAAGTAATTGTACGTAAACTGCACCATCTTCTCTTTAAATATCTAAATAGTAATGAAGATGCTACAGGTATTCGGAGTTAGACAATGCTTTAACCAGTAACACCTTCTAATATGAAGCGTACCCACCAAGTGAAATCAAAAGACAGAATCAAGGAGGTTCGAAGATATATTTGATAGGCTATCAATATATCGAGGATCGTCTGAACAAATCTGGCTAGCGATTGCAGTAGATGTTGAGCACGGCGTTCCTACACGTGATCTGATGCGGATGCATGACCGAGCGCCTTCAGCTAAATGAGTCCATTGAAACTAATGTGGTCAGCATCCAATGTCGAAAACTTACAGAGCTATTTATTTTTGGGATTTATTTACTGCTACAGTAAAAAGAGATAAAACATAGATATATTGTACAAATTGAACA